AAGCAATCAGGTTGGAAGCATCTTTTTTTGTAGCTGCTGAACATGTAGCCAAACAGGGAATTGCTTATTTACTAATTTACTCACCAAATTTATGTGGCTAATCATCTCATGAATAAATTATTCTGTATGGTGTACAGTAAAAAAATAGATTATTGCTTCCTCTTGATTCTCTCAACACCAATTTCGTGTGAGTTTTGTGGTCTTCTGGCTAAAATATTTGATTCCACATTGATTCTCACTATATTGTTTGAAACCTATTACTCTAGAGCTGTGATGGCGAACCTATGGCCCATGTGCCTGAAGTGGCATGCAAAGTCATGTCGCCTGGCACGTGCAGCATCACCCATTCCTGCATGTGCCAATCAGCTGGTCTTTGTGCATATAGCAGTGCTGGAAACCGGAAGAGCTGGTCTTCTATTTTCCAGTGTGAGCATGCACGCTGATTGGTGCATGCACACGCACGGCAGTAACCGGGAGACTTGCTGGCTGGTGCCCGTGTGTGTGCCAGAAACTGGAAGTACATTTTCTGGTGCATACATTGCTCCCTGGGCAGCTCTTCTTCCTGGTTGCAGCCCAGACGAGTGCATGCGCAAAGTGCTCCCTTGGTACCAAAAAATTTCACCATCACTGCTGTAGAGCTAAATTTCTATCCAGCATTAGATAAAAAGTAAGGAAAATAAAGATCTTAGCACTCAATCCCCTTAACTCATATACAGTCAGATCCATTTCATTGCCCTGATGGAACCCCTGATGAAAATTCCCTCCCCACAACACAGTCCCTGCAATCTTGTAAAAACTTTGCTGATCCTCATTAAATTGCACATCTTGGTGCCTAGAAACTTTTGTTGGGCATCAAGAGATATATCAAGATTGGACTAAGTGGAGAAGGGAAGTTTCTCCTTTTACTTCTCCTCAGTCTCAGATCTGTTCCTGGAACCTTTTTGGTTATTTATACAAATGAAGAACAAGTTTGCCAAGGTGAAATGCAGCCATTGCCTTGATGTACATGTGTGTGTTTGGGAGGCCAGATGGAAAGATATTAGACTTCATATAGTTCCTGTCTATTTCAGGCAAGGAGAATCAGGTCTACCTCTTAAATCAATCTCCAATTGCAAGTATTTTGATTGTATTTCCTCTATTTATAAACAATGCAAAATGTGTGTGTCTGTGGGGCTGGGGAAGAGGAAGAGGGAAATAATACTTTCACTTCAGATTGTGGGGACCTACTATTCAGATCTGAATTTTGGTAGGTTAGGAAAGACTGACTTTTGGAATCTTATTTGTTGAATTCCAGATGATGTCTCTCATAGTACTGTGATGGCTAACCTTTTTGTTGTTGGGTGCCAAAAATACGAGGGTGTGTGTGCACTGACGTCCATAATGTAAAGTGCACTCCCACATGCACATGCATGCACAATTCTCCCCATGCTTCTCCACATGCTTGCTGCACTACTTACCTCAAGGCTGAGCTTGGTATTTCCTCTGGGGGGCTGAGGGATTCCGTTTTCACCCTCCCTGGGCTCCAAAAAAGCTTCCGGAGCCTGGGGAGGGTGAAAAATGGGCCCAATAGGGCAACCAGAAGTTCAGAAATGAACTTTGGGCCCATTTTTTGCCCTCCCCAGGCTCTGGAGGATTTCCTAAAGCCTGGGGAGAGCAAAAATGGCATATCCCGGCCCTCTGAAAGGCTGAAAATCAGCTGGCCGGCACGGGCAAGCATGCTGGAGCTGTTGGCTCGTGTGTTGACAGATATGGCTCCATGTGCCACCTGTGGCACGCACACCATAGGTTTGTCATCACAGTCATAGTACAATCTCCCCAAAACTGCTGGAAGATAGATATATTTAATTCTTTTAACCCAAAACTTATTGCTCCAGGGTTCATTGCTGCAATCCATTTCTTCCTGAGTTACTAATTTGGGAAGCAGGTTTCCACATTGGAAACAATGAGTCTGAAAAAGTGACTCACACAGAGATATAGCAGGTATTATTTTCTGTTAGAAAGCAATTCCATTTCATTTCTTAGTTGGGCATGATTGAATGATGCAGAAAAAGATTTGAACAATTCTTGGCCCCGGTATAAGTGGATTAGAGGAAATTAAGATTTACTATTCTTTTCAAGGCAGATACCATGGATAAAATTTGGGGAATTTAAGGATTGCAGCAGGCAAAATAATAAGTGAATTTCAGGCTTGCAATCAGGTCATTTTAAACTTTTGGTTTATTATTAAATGTATATGTCATGGTTTGAAGTGGGATTTGTTCTCTAAAGTCTCATCAGGGCTGGATCTAGCCAATTTTGCTTGTGCTTGGCAGGGAAGCAGAATCCGGCATGGTTAGGTTTTAGAATGCACACCCCCAACAAATGGGAAGTAAAATCAAAAATTCTGTGTGAGAGCAACACAAGCCACTTCCATTCTAGTGTCAGGAAAATTACCTGACTTTACTAAGCTTTATTACTTAATTTTTCTTTAGAAAGTTAAGTTTCTTTAGTTGGCATCTTGATTATAGTCAGACTTAATACTGTGATGTACCTGATTGTGAGCTTTGAAGTGCTTCTCAATACACTGAAGTTAAAAAAAACTTTAATTTTTACTCTTGATGTTGTCCCATTAATCACCTATTCCAAGCCTGCTTAACTTTTTGAGATCAGTTATAATCAGAAATTAATAAAAATGGAAATTTTATTGATAGATGTATGTCTTCTAGCTATGTCTGCTTCTATGTTCTGATGGTAAATTACTGGATTGTATTTTTGGGAGCCTCTAGGTAATGAATAATTTTCAAAGAGTGTCCCATTTTAAGGCAGCATTCTGATGTATCTATTAATTTATACAAATGTATTCCTCCCCGTGTCTAATCTAAACTAAGATGTAATAAAGGAATTTAGCAAACCTCACTGTTTTACACATTTAGCTTCAAATAAATTCCATCAAATTTATTGAGATTTATTTCTAAATAGAGATTGTACAGAATTATACTTCCTCTTGAAATAAAGAATTAGATCAAAACCATATTCCAAGCCTAATCAGTTTATTTTTCCTATTAGTGAAATTCCTAGATATAAAGCCTTCAATTATCAGAATTTTGGAAGTCAACATATCTAGATATATCAGATTGGCAAAGGCTGCCATAATCTTTGGCACGGCAACTCTATGACTATTTCCTCATGTATTGCATAACATAGTAGTTCTCAAAGGGTGGTCTGAGCCTTTCAAAGAGTCTAAGATCAAGTACATACCAGAATACATTTTAAATTTGCTTAGTTTTATTTCTAATACAGTAAACATTGATGGACATAACTCACATAAACATAAGCTCTTTGGGCTTCTCAATTATTTATAAGAACATAAAGGAGTTCTGAGGTCAAACTGTTTGAGAACCACAGGGTAACAAAGCATTTTAAAATTATTTATTGAATTACCAATCATAAAACTATGCTGGGAGAAAAGGATAAAGGTTTCCATTTAACAATGAATGATTAGGAAAACCATACTGAATTCACAATATGAAATCAAGAACTAAATCTTGAATTCCAATTCTCTGTTTTGGGTCAGATGGTGAGTGTATATGTATGGGATTAAGACAAGTTCCCAAAGGAGCTACTCTTTCTCCCTTCTCCTTTGCAAATATGATTGGTCCATCACTGTTTCTTTCCATCTATCTTGATACTTCTAAGCTGCAATGGTATTCACTAGAGGGGGCAACTTCCCCAAAACCCTGGTGCAGCTTCCAAAGACCCAAGCTTACCAAGAAACTGTCATCTTAAAGTCTGCAAATTATCTTGCAGCAGTTTTGTGGTGGGGCAATATAGATAGATAAAGCACTGTGTACCCCCCTCCCACATATAAAAAGCAGGGTAGAAATCAAGTACACATAACAGAGAAAAGATTTTAAAACAGGACGGGAGAGTGGTTGTATTAACAGTGTATAATTTTAATTACCTATAAATTAAATCAAATACATTTTTCTTAGCCCTTTTGTGAGTGTAGGGGATAGCGTGGCTCCCAGCACACCAGAAAAAGTCAAAAGTTGTCATTGCCTGAAAAACAAATTTGTGCTAGATGAAGGATTTCAAAAACAGTGAATTGATCTGAACACAATAGGATTTATTTCTAAACAGCTATGGATTGGAGCCCACTTTTCATAATGCTCCCCATAACCCATCACAGTCTTTATGCTAACAGTAAACTAGGCCTGTGGTACTTCCCCATGTTGCAGGAGACAAAGGCTTGTTGAGAACCACACAAGGAGTCTGTGATGGAGAATCAATAGGGAATTTCAGAATTGCAACTGTTTCTTATTGCAAGCATCAACTTTTGGCCCTGCTGGCATCCTCCTATGAAGAAACGCCTTGCTATTTTCTCAGGAACGGCATCCTCACCTTTTAAGATGCGCACAAGGGCAGAGAGTGAAAGTGATGCTCCCGAGCAAATTATACAGGGTTATCTTAGCCCGCGACGACCTGCACGCAATACCAGACGAATCCTCAATATAGTTTCTCGTATAACAGCAATAAGTGGTTCGGGGGGTGAGGAAAATCTCAATGTGCTTTCAGTGGAAATTGCAGGTTGCCCTATGCAGGGTCGCATTCTAAGTGGGGTTGACTCTCAACTAAGTGCCCGTTGAGACTTTACAAGCCGGAGTCATTGAAATGCGTGAGTGCTGCCCCCGACAAGGAGGACCGAAAGTTTCCCGTGCCCAGTTCCATTAAAGGCAGAGAGGCTTCAAAGGGTTACTTCTGTAACGACCGAGGGTAGAACGTTCCTCATTCTTTTCCTCGTTCCGACCATCCCCCTCCCCTCCTCCACGACCCTCGAAGCAGCATCTATTGGCTGGGAAAAGGGAAATGGGCGTGGCTTGGCCCACCTCCGTCTCCTCGCTCATTCTCTCTGTCTCGCTTCCCCCCCTGCCCCTCCCCAACTCGGTTCCAGTGTAAAGTTTCAGCGAAGCACATGACTGGCTTTAATGGCTGCTGAGCACTGGGGCGCGCGCGCTGGGCAGCGCAACGTTGCGTTCCCTCCTCCTTTCCTCCCCTCCGTCCCGCTCGGGTCAGGCAGCCGTTCGGTGTGACTTTGCAGAGCTGGGACCCCAGAGCGTGTGCTTCTGTCTTCGGGAAGACAAAACTGGCTTTTGGGGGAAGAGGGGGTGTTGGCGAGAGTTTTGTACATGCCCTAGTAACTAAGAGGGAGAGGGACCTGCTTTCCAGGTAAGAGTTTTGGTTACCTGCGGCTCTTCCTTTTGCAGACTTTGTTCTGGATCTGTGTTAGGAAGGCAACGGCAGAAAGGGAGACCCTGTCTTTATTTTTCTTCGTTCCCTGCACGCTAATTTAACGGCTGGAGGGGGAAAGTCGCTGTCGTTTTTGTCTTGTTTTGTTCCTTCTAGATTCCGATCGAAGTCTAGGATTACATAGCAGCCCCCCATCTCCTTTCCTCCTCCTTCCCCGCTCTCTTGTTTGTGCCCCATAGAGTACCTGATTGAAGGGGTTGTTTTTCTTTCCCCTCAGTGTCCCCATCCCCCCAATTTCGTTAATAGTGTTTTACATCTACACTGAAACCAGAGGAGATTGTACATTTCTGAAAGATCTTTCTGGGGGATTTTGCAATTGCTGATAGTTTCCTGAAGTTATAATTACTCTTCAGACTTATTTTGGTGAATATAGCTGTTCAGAGGGAATATCACAGGTTCCAATTTGTGGGACAGTGAAGGTTGCATTATTTTATTTGTTCCAGTTTTCCACTCCCTACTTTTTGGACAGTTTCCTAATAAATCTTAACTGTTGCTTTCAGTCGCCCTATTCAGCTGTCATGGGGCTGCCATCACCCCCTGCTGCCATCTGCTGCAAGGGTTAATCGGGCCAACTGTAGATGGGGATTTTGCCCTGCAATATCTGATATTCTTGTCATCAGGCATCCCTGTCCTTCCTTTGGCCTGTTGGTCTCTTCACTGTTTTGGGGGGAAAATTTTGGTGTATGAGTATGGTGGGATTCTCTCAGCAGGGAGACATCCCAAGATTTGAACTGCTGGCTTGTCCTGATCTCTCTGCTCATTAAGTGACAACTTTATAATGGCAGCCCATTTGAGGGTAAATTTGAACTTAGTGGGAGTGAATCCAGAGTAGGCATAGACAGGACTGCACTGCAAATGTTTGGACAAAATTTTTCAGAGTCTTATCTTCACAGAATGAAGGAAAGCACTTGGAGGAGCGGGAGACTCCCTGTTTCTTTTCTTTGAGCAATTCCCAAAGTTTCTTTCCTTTCAGATCTTGAAAGAAATTGCTGATCTGTTTTCCAGTGCCACGTGTGGGTGTGGCTGGCAATTCTGTTGCTTCTAAATGAAGTTTTGTACTTCATATTATTGGCAAGGGAATTCTGGATCCTCCCCCTCCCCATTATACTTCTGTGCAAAGGTTCTGTTTATGTGATTCCTTCTCCTTCACATTTAAAATTCAAAATGCTGTAGAAAATACCTTTGGTTGTGCCACTTCTCTGATACAAAGTTATTGGCCTTTGTAGGAAGCCTTGGAGTCAAAATAAAAGACAGAGCCAGTGATGTCTGTCTTGCCAAACTACCAGTGGTTGGTCGACCCGTGGGTGGAAAAACAAGACCATGGCTTAGCTTTCAAGAGGATGTTTCCAACTTGGTCTATGTTTTTGCAGTGTCTGAGCAGCCTTGTGGGTGTGAAATTGGAGCCGTGGCTCTCATATAATTTTTCATGCCCAGGTTTCAGAATTTGGATATCTAGTCCTGTGGAGTTTTGGACTAAGCAGCAGTTTGGATACTAATTTTTTTTTTGCATGTCTAACACTAAGATGTGGTATTATGCCTGACCAAGTCCCACAGGTGGTTTGCATGGCAGCTGTGAAATGGGTTTAACACTTAGGGAAAAAATAGTTTGGCAGCTAAATCCCACTTAAGATGGTCAGCAGCTGTGTGGAAGCAAGGATGGTTACCAGTCTCAGCTTGTATTAGAAAAAAAGAACTCTAACTTGTGGTCGGGTCCTTCACTGTCAGTCATAAAAGGTAAATCTGTAAAGAGGGAAGCAGTCATCCATTTAGAGAAATTAACAGCTGGTTTGACTTCAAACATCAGGCAGGAAGGGAAAGAGCAGGTCTTGGGGTATGTATGCATCTATGTTTGGATCTGTGTTTAATTCTCCCAGCTTTACAACTTTGTTCAGTTTGGATAGTTGAGGTCCTTAGCTGAAAAGAATTCTTGAATGGTATGAAGATGGGAGTTTTTTACATTTGTGATCATGGCTTTCTTATTATAGAATATTAATAACAGTGATGTTATTACAGTTTACGGTATGTAGTATGTTCACAAACTGCTTCAAGTTCAATTTCTTAGTATTCTTGGCATATTGCAAGTAAGGATGGGAAACAGAATCTTTCTGCTTGTACACAGGGTTTGTGTCTAAGGAGAGAGTTGGACGAGAGATCTTGATGTTCTTAATTTATAGAAGTAGTTCTATTTTTTGTTTTGTTTTAAAGCATTCCAGGTTTTCTGGCAATTTGAAAGTACCAGAACAGTTTAAGATGTAAGTGATATGCAAACAGTGAATACGTACCGTATTTCTAGATTACACACATTTCTTCTCTTTTTAAAAACCCAGTTTTATCAATTATGTATCTTTCCTTTTAAAATACCAATTAAGTTTCACCATTTTTAAACTTAATTTTATAATGTATATTACATGAGACCCTTCAGAATAAATTACCTGGTGTAATTGTTAACTTTCTGGCTAACAACCAATGTCTCTGACAATCGTGAATATTGAATACTTCAAATCCTATTTGGGAAGTAAGCGCCTTTAAAACAAGTTCTTTTTCATAATTTCTCCTAGGATTGTAAAAGAAGTCTGCTCCTCGGTGTGGCCTTGCAGGATCAGTTGAATTAAATACTGTTTATGTGGCAATTCAAACTACCAGTATCATGGACATGGCAGAAATCATAAACTTATAAAAATGCCTTTGTGCAGTCAGATCAAAGATGATCTCCACCAACAATGATTTGTCACATTTCCTTGAAGAGGACAGGAAGCCCATAAGGAAAGCTTGGTGGAGGCAGGCTTTCTTATTCCCGTAAAAAGTCATTAAGGACAAAGGGTACATCTACATCTGGATATTTCCCTTTCAATTATTATGGGAGAAGGGAAATAAAACGGTAGAACCCTGGTTCTAATTTCAAGCCCATAAGAGTGCTTTGTCCATCTCAAAACATAGCCAGATTTGAAACAACATCTTGAAATATTATAATTAGGGCTGGGTTTCATATATTCCGAATCAAAAAAATGTTTCATTTTGTTAGCTTATTGTCAGACTTACCCCCTCCCATCCCAACTCTATGGTTTATATACCATAGTGAACAGGTATATTATAGTAAATGAACAAAAACCTAATGAACCACATAATGCATTAGCTGTATATAGGATCATTGGCTGAATAGAAACATTGTGAAAAGCATATGTTTGGTTTTGGTTTAGCATAATGTGTGAACCAAACCATTTTTGGCTTGTAACCATTATTTATGGCTTAATGTCACATATAGGAACCAGCTCTGTATGCTTTGTTCAACTACAGCGGTTAGAAAAAATGTTGATGCAGTAAATTGTGTGAATTCAGCATGTGTCTTCCATAAATTTATTTAATCCCATTTTTAAAAGCCATTTAAGCTTCTCACTATTTTATCTTATAGTTATTCCTATTGTTTGATCTATACAGAATATTCTCATTGTATATCCTTCCAAAATTCCTAGATCCCAATGTGTGTTCCAGAATTGGCTGCAGAAGTTTGATACCGTAGTTAAAATCGAAACCTCTTGAAGTTATTGTGGTTAACGAACATTGTTCTAGGAGATAGGTTATAAAGTAAGTGCACTTTTGTCTGCCTTCATTCAAGGAATTACAGAACCATATATCCCAATGGTTTTCCAAGTCTCTACTGGACAATTATGCTTATTCACAATTCTCAAAACTTTTAACTTTTAGCCTGAGTTAGGAGATACTCAGAGCAAAACCAGAGAGGATTTCTATATTGGAGAAATCCTCTACTTATGATCACAAGTGGAACTGGAAATTCTGTTGCTAAGTGAGGCAATTGTGAGGCAGTTGAATTATCACACAGCCATGCTTGATTTTACAATGTTTTTGCTGCAATTGTAAAACAAATCTAACTTGGCCCATTGATTTTGCTTATCAGAATTCCTCTGGGAAGGTCGCAAATGGAGATCATGTGACCTCAAGATGCCGAGACTGTCATAAACACCAAATGCCCAAATCATGACCAGGTGATGATGGGGATGTTGCAGAGGTCCTAATTGCAAGGACTGGTTGTAAGTCACTTTTTCAGCACCCTTGTAATTTCAAAGAGTAGTTAAATGAATGATGGTGAGTTGAGGACTGCCTATGCGACTTCTAAATAACATGCTGTTTAATTTTATTATTTTAAAAATTTTAAGTTAGTTTACAAAAGTTATTAACCCAGAAAATATATTTGTTACTCTGCTTTTATGTGTGCTTAATTAGTCATTCCACTTTACAATCATAGATAATATAATAAGGGGGCTTCTCTTCAGCTGGTTTGTGGCAGATCCTGCTGCTGTATTTGGCTAAAAGAAAGTGACTGGCCCAAGGTTATTTTACTGGTTTATTTGCTTCTATCCTCCCAGCTTAATTACTACAGGTAGTAGTTCTTGGTGTATGATCGGAATTCCATTACTAAGCGATGCAGTCGTAAAGTGCGATGTCACATGGCTGTATCATTTAGTAACAGGGATCCTATCGTCATCGTTAACCAATTTCCGCTAGTACTTAGCTGAGAACTTACCGAAGCCAAGCCATTCAGTGCTTAGCCCTTCCCAGCCCCGAAACTGAGTAAATTAAGGGATTGCCTCCTCTTCAACTCCCCCTACCTGCCCATCTCACCCCTCATCACTGCCCTTTTGGCTCCCCCACACCCTGCGTTGCGGGACAGCAAGCAGCCCAGAACCACATGGCTTTGAGGTTGTTTGCCCTACTGGCTTGGCATGTCATGGCATGCATGACTCTGGGGATGCGTGAGGTCCCTGGGTGCAGTGCAAAGCATTAGACACCCCAGCAAGTCCTAGCCATCATAGCCCAGTCACCCTCACTGCCCCATACTCTTGAGACCCCTGCCATCCTGCACTCTGTGCCCATCACCCACTGCTGATGAGACATGCTGCTCCCCTCTGGCCATTTGTGAGATATCTACTGATTACATGATGCCATCTTCCCCAAGTTAGGAAGATACTGCCCTGCACAATCTGGGGAACAAAACCTCATGCAGCCAACAGTTGCCTCACAAAGGCCTAGAATGAGCATGATTGATCAGCAGTGGGAACAAGGAGAAAGTGAAGAACACTACAGCATCGGGAGCTAAAGTGCACAAAGGGCCAAAAGGGCATACATGGAGGGAGGGCAGATAGATTGGGGTGAGAAGTTGAAGTGCTGTGGTCGTAAGTGTGGTCCTGCTGCCAAGGGTCCAAATTTTGATCACATGACCATAGAGATGCCACAACAGCTGTAATTCAGGGAGAGATTGTAACTCCATTAAGTGCCACCATAGCTCGGAACAATCTCTGAACGAATAATTGTAAATTGAGGACTACCTATATGCCATATTGGCCCTTTACATTATTACTACTACTTATGTAAAGGTGATTCTCACGTATCACAGGTAAAAAGATGGTTGACTCTTGATAAAGCTGGATTATATGTTTCTTTTCATGGGCAAGCATTCTGGTGATTTTCAGTTGCTTCAAATTTCAGAGTTCCTACTAAATATCAACAATGAGAGAGAGGTTTAGTTCAAAACATCTATAGGACACCAGGTTAGTCGCCTCTTTCACAGCCTAAAAGTAAGATGAACTTATTTTACCTTCTTGTTCATGTGAATGAATATCAGTCCTATTGGAGCTGAGAAGCAGCTACCCAGTATCTCTAATATTTGTTCAAGAATTCTTGTTTTTGTGATTATGTAAAGGGATAATGGAAGTATATGCAAAATACGTTATCCACAAAGAGTATGTTATTCACAGAGGGGAATTATAGAGTGCACATTATTCACAGAGGGGAAACTAATATGTTAATTTAATAAATTATCTATTTAAGATTGTGGATTGTAACATATTTCTACTACTTTTTTAATCAAAGCATATTAGTTAGATTTAATGGGAGTTTGCTTTTTCTTAAATGATCCCTTCCTTCTAAGGAATTTAGGGTATAATTTGTATCTTTACAATTAAATTCTGCAGAATGTGTTAGATACGTTTTGATGGCCAAGCCCGCATACCTAAAGAATGTTGTAGTTGTATGAAACTTGAATATTGATTCCCATGTTCATGTTAATTGTACTATAGCAGGTCTTACGACAGTTCATATGGACTAGCACATAACAAACTCCATATTTTTTCACATTGGCAGATCCGTTGGTGTGTTTTCTTTTTCTTTAGATTATTATCAGAACCATGGCATCATATTATGCACAGAGCTATTGTTCTTCTACTTAGTGCATCATGCCACTTTCCAATGTGTGTGTCAGAATCCGGAAATACAGAGATGTTGCTATTGCGCTGCACTTAAAAACACTTCTTTGTACAAGTGCAGACATGCATATGCCTTGAAGGTATAGTTCTGTGGTTTGCAAAGTGTTCCATATTTTTTGGGGGGGATCTTTCCAATGGAGCACAGAAATGGACCTTCTATCTTATAGATTTCTCAGTTGTGCTTTGCTCCAGAGATAGTCCTACCACTCGGATTTATTTATTTATTTTGCTATGAAACTGCTCTTGTTTGTAGAGCACAAAATTATCCCATGTGCCCATCTGAAACAGCTAGCAACACATACATTTCCTCTTTTAAGCAATATTTAAAGTTGCTTTGTATGAGTGCCTCCAATTGTCTGGTTTGAAGAAGAAATAGTTGTTGTAGAATAGAAAAATCTAGAGGTACTCATTTTCATATTATTCTGCTAGTATCGTATACTGATCAAAGTCCTCTTTCTGACCTCATTGACCCTGGGGCATTGTATAATGAAGGGCAATATAGAATGATTCAGATAAGTAGAAAATGTGTCTATTTCTTGATGACTTATTTTCCAAAGTGTCTGAGGCTGAGTTGAGGCAATAAGTCTTTGTCAAGTTTAGTGCCTCAAGGGGATGACTGGAGTTTTCGATCAACTCATCAGAAGAGTGTCAGATTGGAGAAAATGCTCTAGGTGGTTCTACTTCATCCTGTGGTGACAGGGGTCCCATATGAAGGCAGGATACTCAGGGAAAAGTAGTATCATGAAAAAGACTTAGCTTGAACCCTTGGCTCACTAAGTGTCCATGTGAGGCTTTGTTCCAGACAACTGGAATTATGAGGAAATTCAATCAAATGATTTATGGACTGTTTCAGACAGGCATCCTTCCTGTATGGTGGTATTATGGTAGTTATCCTTCCCTTGATATGTTTTCCAGATGTGGATTATAGAACATTTTTATCTCAGGGTTGAGAGATTTGGATTATGATATTAGTTTCTTCCTGATGGATTGGATAACCATATTTATTTCCCAACAATTTGGAGTATTTTTGCTAGATAATCATCTTTCTGTTCCTATACTGATTGACAATACTTTTGCTGCACTTCAGGGAAATTATTTGTGTTCACATAAACTGAGGACCTGGAAGCCACCATTTGTGGATATTGGCTAGCAACAACTTTTATTGTTTCTGAAAGTCTCTGAGTATTATTTGGCTTGCCAGCTGCAGTTGTATGAACTTCTGGCTTTTACTCACGGAAATGACTCCCTGTGAGAGTAGAAAATGCCCTTATTGTTCATATTGAAATGATCCTATAGTAATAGCCACCAGTTTTAATTATATGAAAGGTCCATCACCATATAGACCTGGCAGTCCTTGTATGTATGGTAATCTTAACAGATTGAGTTTTGGAGCCACTCTGAACAAAGAAGTTCAAAAGTTCTATTTTTTTCTGCATTTTGTATAACATTAAAAAGAAAATGGATCCATTACAGCTCATCTGCAAATTTTACAATTCCTTCATTGAGTAAGAGCAGTGTTTAAACTGAATAACCTCCATTTTGATTTGTGGTAAGTAGGAAGGATGGCGACACATCATGAAGATGATTTTCAATTTTACTGCCCTTTCTGCATTCTAATAGAATGAGTCTATTCAAAGCTATTCTAAACAATTTATATGTAGGAAGTTTTGTCTGTAAGACAGGCGTTAAGAATTTTGTGTAAACTTTCAGTTGTTTGTATGCATTAAATAAATAAATAAAGTAATTTGTCTAACTCCCACAGAGTGAATATTTAATAGGAGTGGCTCTCTCCATCTCCAGATCTCCAAAAACCAACAGTGCTACACATATTTCTTAGTTTTGAGATATTCTTCAGACTTTATCTTGGATGATTTGATGGCATTAAGCTGTCATTCCCCTTTAAAGAAACCAATTTCCCCCCTTCTTATATAATCTAACTTGGATCCTGTTGGGGGGCCTTTCTAATTCTGGTACAATACCAGAGGTGGTATTCAGCAGGTTCTGACCAGTTTTGGAGAACAGGTAGTGGAAATTTTGAGTAGTTTGGAGAACCGGTAAATACCACATCTGACTGGCCCTGCCCCCATCTATTTTCTGCCTCCCGAGTCCCAGCTGATTGGGAGGGCATGGAGATTTTACAGTTTCCTTCCTCTGGAGTGGGGTGGGAACGGAGGTTTTACAGTATCCTTTCCCTGCCACGCACACCAAGCCATGCCAAGCCTACCAAGCCAGTAGTAATTTTTTTTTAATCCAACCACTGTACAATACCATCTGAATATTACAGAAGGTGAAGTTCATCAATGCCGGAGGGCATAACATAAGGGAAGGCTGCTATAGAATATGAAATGGAACATATACATGGTCTGTATGTACATAAATATTAAATTAAAAGGATAGATGTCCTCAATCTCATCAGTGGATGTGCCCAGTTCCCCTCCATTTCCTGGCTGGTGTTGATCAACATCCTTGAATCTCACATACATTGCATTACACTCTCCAAGTGTCTTGAGACACAGCTGGCTGAGGATTCTGGGAAGCACCACTCCAAAACATTTGGAGGATGTCAAAAAAGAAAAGCTGCACTTTCGTTGGGATCCCCTTGTTTGCGATCCCCTTGTGTCTGGTTGTTTTCTGGAAGAGGAAACTGATGCTATGTGGTAGCAATAGAAAACAGATTGTTCTAAACCATTTCAAAGTCCAAATCCCCTGTCTTGCCATTTAACACCACTGTTCATTTGTCAGTGTAGATTAAATCCAGAAATTCTGGG